CGGACTTCGGTCCGATGCCGGGGAAATCCCGAGAAGTAGCTATGTATGCTTGATGTCTTTGTGATTCCTGCATGTTTGTGTTATGTGTTATATGTTCCGGGCTTCGGTCTAATGCCGGGCAAGCCCGATGCAATATATATGATTATGTTATATGTTTATGTATTGTTATGTTCAGTACATTCCGAACTTCGGTCTGATGCCGGGCGGGGACCGATGCAGTGGGCGGGGCCCAAGTTATTCCGGCCTTCGGTCCGATGCCGGGCGGGGCCCAATGCAGTGGGCGGGGCCCAAGTTAGCCCAGACTTCGGTCCGATGCCGGGCGGGGCCCGGTGCAGTGGGCAAGGACCAGTATGTGTTATTGTATGGTATGTGGTAGTTTGGGAGACTCACTAAGCTTCGTGCATCGTGCTTACAGTTTTAGTTTTGGTTTCAGGTACTCAGTTTTCAAAAGAGGAGCTCGGGAAGATTGCAGTGCACACACCATTTGTTTAGCCTGGGATGTTTATACTCTGATATATTTGGAAAATGTTATATTATTCTGAGATACATTGTTATGATTTTTTTCTATGACGTATGATGACTATGGTTTTATTACTGATTTTAAACGAAATTTTCAGACTGTATTTTTGGAATGTTTCAGAAACTCTCTTCCCTATGAAATTTATCACTTTGTTCATAATTGTCGATCAGCCAAGGAGATGATGAATACGATGACTATTGCATATGAGGTTACTGATGAAGTAAAGGCTGTTAACAAGAACAGTCTAAATCGATGACATGAGCATTTTTTCAACAAGAAAATGATACTCTTGCTCATGTCTTCAATCGTTTTAATAGCTTAATGAATGATATGCGTCGTCTTAATATGAACAAGACTAGAAACTCCTTTGTTCTCAAGGTTCTTGATTCACTGAACGATAGTTGGGAACAACATTGTAGATGTTTTGAAGAACATTGAGAAAACCGCAACCATGGATTTGGCTTCTTTATTTGGTAATCTTCGTAATCATGAAGAGACAAAGATTTTGCGAAAGGAAATCATGTTTACAAAGACTGTGAAATTAATTAAAACCTATTAGGCTTTAACACTACTGTTGGGTTTTCTTATCATCAATACACTTTCTAAAAGGTAGCGGAAACAATAAAAAATTTACCTAATTGTACATGCACCCTAGGATCTTGGTTTTACTAGTTTTAGCAACGAACTTTAAAAATACAAAAATAAGAATAATAACCTCTTGGTTCTTTGCTTGTAACCTTGTGAATGTCAGTGATTGCAATGGACAAAGGATCCAAAGTAGAATCTCTCTAATGTAGTCAGACCCACAAACACCAAAAGTAAAAAGGAAGAACCTTAGTTTAGGGTTTATGTAAAATTCACTAACCTTAGGATAGGGGTTATGGATATTGTCCACCAGGAGAGAGAGGGAGATCTTGGAATAATTTTAGAGATGAAAATTAACTCCACGGTTTGACCCCTAATAGTCTATTTATAGGTTGCAATTAAATTCTTAATTAATTCAAACTCTTCATGGTAATCCTTATCTGATTCAAACTTGTCTTATCCATATCAGAGATCCTATCAAAACCGTCCCATATATGCTCTCTAGGAGCTTCTAGAATATTCCAATTAATTTGGATGATTAATTAATATTTAAGCTTTTTAATTAATTAAAAAAGTTTAATTAATTTCAAAATATTTTCTAGTTAATTTATTAATTACTTAATTAATAAATTAACAACTTATTTTTCTTTATTTCATTATTTCTATTTGGGTCATGAGGCCAACCAAAAGGACCATGTTGTTATTAGAAATATTACCAAAACAGTTAATGACATTGGACACTATTTCCAACAACATATATTATGATTGTGTGCTTGTATATGGATGCCATAATCTTCATTGAAAAAACAATCCAGGTATGTTTAACTAATGATCTTAAGTAAGTTATGAGTACTAAGTATGAGATGACAAATATTGGTCAGATGTCATACTTTCTTGGAGTTGAAGTATATCAAAGCAAGAATGAAATATTTATATCACAAAATAATATGACGAGTAGATTTTACAAAAGTTTAGGATGAAAGACTATAAACCAGTCAACACACTAGCAGAAGCGGGAAAGAAGATAAGTGTTGAATAAGTTAGAGAACCTTTAAACTCAACATTGTTCAAAATCTTTGTGGGAAGTTTAAGATACAAAATCTTTACACGTCCATACGTTATATATATAGTTAGAGTAGTCATTAGATATATGGAGAAGCCAAAGCAAGATCATTTTATTGCAGCTAAAATAACTTTAAGATACATAAAAGGTACGTTGAATCAAGGCTCGTTTTACTCGTACTCTCAAGATGTTTCAGCCTCGTCCTCATCTTGGGTCTTGAACTTCCTCCGTTTTGGTGGGGGAACGCTCTGGGGACCGATCCTGAGATGTAATACTAGGTATAAATCTCTTATATTGAATATAGTGTTATGCTTTAAACTCCTTTTATATTAGTCTCTATCTTGATATCGACGCTTACTCCTCCTGGAATTGATGTTACAGTTAACGTTTCCACTAAAAATATAATATATTATTCATATATATTATTAAAAAACAAAACAATCAAATTGATGCTAAAGGTACATGTATATAGTCTAGTACACGATGAACCTCAAGCCACTCCATACGCTTAAGGTATTTCCATCCTAGCGTACGGAAAATCAATCTACTCGACAGTCGCTTAGTAAATCCATGCTGACACCCACGAAACATTTTTCTAAATCCAGATCTAACAAAAGTATATTTATAAATAAATTAGTTTTTACTATTTAAAGCATAAGCTAGTTTATAATTTGTAAATCATAAACTATTTTGTAATTATTAAATCATAACTTGGATGGAAAAAGAAAGCAAAAACATTGTGTTGTAATGTTTGGGGTGTTCCCCAAATGCAAAACGATTTGAGTAGTCATTTAATTATAAAATTCATACATGTTCCATTTATCCTGGTCCTCCTCTTGTGAAAGCCATGCAACTGTTACCTTTTCCTTTATCTCCTCTCCTAAAACCCGTCACATAGAATGCAAAGTAGATAAGTTGTTAACGCGTCCTCATCGGTAATACAGTGAAATGCATTGCTAAATATAATCGCATACAAATCTCCAACTGTCAATGAACTGTCTATGTCATTCAGGAAACAACGTCGCCAGTTTGATGAAGCAACGAGTTACAATTTTTTTATTTACGTTCAGATGCCAACAACCAATGTTTTAAAAACCAGTTTGAACCAGCCGGTCGAACCGGTTAGACCGGGAACCGGGGGAGAGAGCGGTTCAACTATCACCGGTTTTACACTGATTTCTGAACCGGCCGGTTTTTAGAAAAACCCGGTTGAACCGGTCAAAATAAACCGGTTAAACCGAATAAAAACACATGAAAAATAACCATTTACATAATAAACTTTGGTGATTTTTTTCAAATCTATTTAGTTTTCTCTAAATAAAAACATATGGTAAATGTTATAAAGTTTTTTTATGTGTTTGTATTCATCTAAAACTATATTTCGTTTCACTATTATACTTTATTTTCTTTTTCACGTATATGGATTAATGTAAAACATTAAAACTTATGGTTATGTGTTATTTTAATGTATTTGGATTCATCTACAACTTAATTTGATGTGTATTTTTAATGTTTGAACTTATAAACATCAAATTAATGATTTATATATGTATGTATGTGTAAGAAAATAGAAAAAAAGTTGAAAAAATATAGAAAACTGGTTCACCCGGCGGCCGAACCGGTTGAACCGGAAACCGGTCATCTTACCGGTTCAACTAAAAAACCGGTTTTTAAAACATTGCCAACAACCAAAATTGAACCCGGTTATCAGATAGAATTCCTCTTAATCAAAATAAATATATATCGATCATCAAATAAAAAGCATAACTGCTCATCTGCTATTAGGGTCTGACCACGTGAAACATCACCCCCATAAATAAGTAGTGGGTCCCCCTGACTATAGGTAGGTTTGCAACATTGTGGTCTAGAATAACTCCAACATTCTTCTCGTTAAACAACGTATAGTATCTCTAACATTCCTGACATTGACCTTTAAATTCAAAGACCTTTTATATGATTGTAAAACATGCTACATTAACATGAAAAGTATTACAAATAAGTAAATCAAAACATTAAAACTTACATGGAATAATAACCAAATCATCAAAAAACAATTGGATTTTCACAGGTCCTAACTTGCTAAAACATAGATTTTCACAAGTCAGAATGTGGTAAAACATGGATTTTCATAGGCCATGACCTACAAAAAAATCTATATTTTCATAGGTAAATCTAATATACATACCAACGAGGTCTAATTTTTGGGTACAAACATAAAATATACACATAAGGAAAAATAACTCGTCGATTGTTTGCAGGGTATTTGTGAAAATATTGTATAAAAATATAAAAAAAATGTGAAATAAAAAAAAGTTTTATATATGTCAGCCGAACCAGGCCTTAGGCCCATGCAATTTTCACAGCCCACAACAGAATTTCGCAACCCATGAAATTTTAATAGGTGGTGTCTCCCAAAAACGATGTTGTTTTGGTAAAAATAAAATGTTGTAGTATTAAGGTTTTTTTAATGATTGAAAAAATTAGCTAAATTTGTCATTTCTTCTAATAATGATCGATAAGAAAAGTTTGAAAAGCATATAACGTCTGTACGCAAATAAATGTATTGTTAGTCATTTTATATCTTACACAACATACTTATAAAATCAACCATGCATGTTATAAGTTTGTACAAATGATTATTTAAAGAGTTTGATTTATTGATTTAATAATTTTTTTACTATGATTATAAACTCTTACCGTATGCATTTTAAAGTATTTTACTTTCCGTGACGGAAGTTAATTATAGAGGAGGAAGGAGATAAAAGGGAGAAAAGTGCGCCAAACTTCAAACCTGAAAGTATGCAGACTTGTCACTGAGTGTGAGAGAGAATAATGGTGATGCTGTGCTTTCTATTGGATTTGCGGACGTTATCGCCTCCTGTACTTCGAGATCTAAAGCAGGTACGGAGCAATTAATTTATGAACAATTATATCGATTCATGAATCTTCTCCAAACATCGAATTCGATCTATAGAACTACAATCACTTTAAGAAGAATTCGTAAATCGTGTTGAAATAAGTTAGTAAATCATGTAAGAAACTCGTTGTTCGCCAGTCATTGCTGCAGCTAGCGAATTTCTACGCAATTTCAAGTCCAAGAGGTCACAGATCGATCTCGAAGTCGAAATCACTCCTTGATAAGATCGGGCTTTGCTATGTCTTCAAAAATCGAGTATCCTGTTCCACAGAGGTATGTGATTATTCGTACTTCAACTTATCGGTCCAAAAATATTTGTACGTCGTTTATGTTTTGCTATCGATAACATAGCTTTCGTTTAACTTCATCATGTGAAGAATTAACATGAGTGTGATGAAAATGCGAAGAATGTTCAGACTGATGCAGTTGAGGTTTTAGAATTTAAAATGCTAGGTAATACTGGATATAGATTTAATATGAACATATGAACTGAATCAATAGGAGCTATTAACTTAAATCGTTCAAAGTACTTAAAACGTATGCAGAGAGGATGGACTTCATCTGTTTCGAAGTTAAAGACACCTTTTGACATTTTTTGTTTAGCAGGCAAGCCATACTTGTTTTCATATTGATCAAACAACAACTTAGTTGTTGATGTCAATATTTAATTATTCTTGTACTACAATCTGAATTCTTCGTACTCATGTTTTTTGTTATTTCTATCATGTGCTTTGGTTCATAGCAGATGAAAGTAGCATACAGGCCAAGTGGAAATTTCAGTCTCCGTGATTTTCATCATGCTGTTAACAACTTGCCTCATGATGCCTTCTTGCCAGAACTCAACAATTGTATAGCTGTCTCATGTTGTGGTAATGGAAGTTTTGTGTTATTGAATGCATATAATTTTCTAGGATATTCAATTCTGTATCCATTGTGTTGCTTTATAGCTTCTTTACCTCTTTTGTAAATTTATTTGCCTTCTTTTCCAGCAGATGTCCACCTTGCTAGTGTCCTCAATGACAAAGTTCTATACTCATGGGGAGGTGACAACGAAGATGTCGGAAGAAAAGTGATTATTATTAGTTCATGTCTACTTGAAAATTTAGACTCTGTGATAAAGAAGACTCTAATGGTGAAGAATTTCAACAACCTCTTCTTTCTCGCATTTCACTTGCTACTGGCTTTCCAATATAATCAGTTTTGACTTCTTAGTTCTAAATGTTGATTGTTGCATCACTTCCTTATAGGAAGCAGCAGACAAATGTATATCAGTGGACTTTATATTGTTGGAGAAAGTGTCAGGTGGTGTTGGTGCTCTTTCAGAAAGCATAAACAACTTCATTAAGGATATACGTGATCTTGAGAATTGTTCATTCCATAATCATCTTCCAGGTACTTTTCTTCTAGTGTACTTATCATCCAAGAATGTAACAGAAACGCTTCCTTTTGAAATGATAATAAACACTATAATTATGTGGCTGTGTTACATTACACCATTAGCCATATTAAATGTTCATATATGTAAAGATGAGGTAAAGGGTATCAAATGAAAGGGAATTGTGTAGCAAGTGCTTTTACAGAACACTTTTGCAGATGCAAAGGCGTTGTGCTCTCTGGTGAAACAATGGCTACAGGATTTAAGGGATGAAACAGAACAACTCCAAGCCCGTCTCAAATTCAAAAGAAACATTCTAGGCTCTTTAAACCAAATATGCTGTAATCTCTTTCCATCTTTCACTCACATCATTGATGAGTTTGAACCCTGCCAGGTATTATATCTTTATATAATCTTTTATATTCTTTTCTTCTATATACAAATCAACTTTAGTCAAAATAACAAAATACCAAGTATCAGTCATGCAGGTGTCATGGCTATCCATTGGATGATGAACATAGAAACAAAATGGTGAAGTCCACTTGTTGTCCAGTCACTGGCAATGAGCTTGGCACACTTGATTCAACTGTAAACTCTCTCAAGGTTGGTGAGCAAACAGTCCTGTTCATGCCCTCCTTTCATTACTACACAAAGTTGCAGCATGTAACCACACCTATTGATTTCAACATCATTGATAGAACCAACTTAAGGTCTTTAAGCGAAGGTACTTTCATTTATCCTTCAATGTCATACATTATCAACTTTTGATCATTTAGGCATCCTACTTGCAATTATGACAATGTACTTTCATTTAAATGTCATTCAAGTAGTTTAGACTTTAAATCATGTTTCTTAACTATTACCATCACATCGGTTTCCAAAGATTTTACATAGTTCACTTGTCTTACTTTCACTTAAGCCAATCTACTTTCAGTAATAGCAACATTCTTTCCTTTCATGAAAGTCTTCACATAAAAATGTTCCACTTGTTGGTGTTTTGTCACAGGGTTGATTGTAGGGACTCCCTTTGTTGTTGTTCCATCTTCTTCAAATGAACTGGATGATATTGACCAGACAGAGTTAAACAACCAAGGTCATTAAATGTCTGCCTTTTGTAGTTCATGTTTTTTAAAATTTTAGTAGGAATCTTCTAAATTGTAATTAAATTTCTGAAAATTTTATCTTTGGATATGATTTTGCAGTATTCCAAGGACTTTGCAGTGCCCTACATTTTCTAGATCAGGGATTGGTTTGCTCATCCAGATGTAACACAGATACAATGAGAGAAACACCATTCAAGTGTTATTACATACTTCTGCCTTCAGATAATGGAGTGATGCTGCTCAGGGTGGGTCCCGCTTCCTTCTACTAACTGCAATCCACATGAAATGGGAATTTTAACCAATGGTCTCAAATATCACCAATCTAAATGATCAATAATCTATTTCTTTCTTAATTAATGGTTTCTCTTATTTTTTGTGACTCCTACAGAGGCTCGCAGGATCAGAAGAAGTGACCCCTGTCCCTGATGTTAGCCAATCATTCGACTCTACAGAAGCTAAGGATATCAAAGATTCCATAAAAGCCTCTTTGCTTGAGGTTAGATTTTTCTTTGATTATCAGCTCATACAATACCAATCTGTCTCATAATTAGTTCGAATTCTTTATTCTTTTGACATTTTCATATTCTATTATTTTGCTCAGATTGAAGTACATGACTACAATCCCATCCTACACGAAAGGGGATTTCATCAAAAACTAAACGTGCTTGTGAAAGAAAGCTTGCATTTTGGGTAGATAACTAGATATCTTCTCCTTTTAGCATCAAGTTTTGCTTGGATTTCATCAAGTCCATGACAAATGACACCTGGCTATATATATATATATATATCCAGGTCATTGCCTACCAAATCAGAAGAGTCACCTCATGAACTTAAATCAACCCAAGGAGAATCTTTATCTGAACATGGATCTTCAAAGCAAGCAAAGGGTATGATAGCCTTTGAAGAGAAAACAGAAATGGAAATCTCACAGATGGATTTGAAATTGAAATCCGGACAAGATAAAATCACAGCACGTATAACAGAAGAGTGGGAACAACTAATTGTCAATGAAATTCCTAATATCAATTCTTCCACTTGTGTTTCCAAACCAAAGTTGGATCAGTTGGCTTCTACACCGATTGAGAGTAATAAGCCACTGGATGAAAAAACTTCAAGGATACTAGAAAGACTAGAAATACCAAGAAAACTAAAAGCTAAAGTTGCTTCACCAATCATCACCTCAAGTAGTTCCCCAAGTGATGCATGCATGTTGACAAAGAAGCCTCTTATCCCATTTGGTCCAACTCAAACTTCAGATATGGGAACAAATTTAAGCCAGCCAATGAGACCCAACTTCCAAAGGGTGAGAAGGAAATACAGATAAATCTTCATTGCTCTTCTTTTCAAGCAAGTGTTTTTAATTCCCTAATAAATCTTAAAAATAGTCCATGCTTTACATTTTGTGAACCTGAATTTAAATGAATAGAAACTGCAAAACTAAATCAATATCTCTGTCATGTTAGTCATTGGAAGTATTAGAATTGGGTGATTGTTTTGAAAACCAGTCTAGTTTTTAAATGCTATATTAAAAGTACTTAAAGAGTTTAGAGTTCAAGTTTTAAACTAGTCTGGTGTTGGATTACTAAACTGAAAATGCTCAAGAGTCAAGAATTTAATTTTACTGTTGATACCGGCTATGAGAACATTAGCCTTAAAGTATCTTGGGTGGTTATTCAGCCATGAGCCGATTATAAGGATGATTAGTTAGTATATTATTTTTGTTTTCTTGTTGATAAATATTAAGACAGTAGAATCTTAAAAGATAGAAGAAAACAGCAACCATTTAAGTGTAGGAGTTGAATAAGCAGGGGTTTGGACTATGGAAAAAATGAGTCACAACAATAAAGAATGATCACTAATTTCCAGTCAAAATCCTGCATCTTCTGCAAGAGAGGACTTATTGCTAGAGTATGTCACCTTGGCCTTGTTATTCCACATGGATTTCTAAAGTGGAGTACACCTTTTTACTCTTTGTTCCGCTTAAAAAAGAAGAAAACAGGAAAAACATTCCAAGATTATATATATTAGAAATTATGAATGAACTAAATTACAGTGGTGTTATGTTGAATGTTGAAAGATGGTTGCAGTGACAAAGGAGCGAAAGTAAACAACACAATAGTGTGTAGGGTTTCACAAGAGAGAATTTTATTCATTTCCAAGATAATCTCAAAAGCTTACACTGAACCCTTTATATACGGTTAGGGCTGTAAACGAACTGAACGTTCAGCGAACTGTTCGTGAACCGTTCGGCGGGAAGTTCGTTTATGTTCGTTTATTTAATAAATGAACGAACATGAACACAAATTATCGTTCGTTTAGTTAAACGAACGAACATGAACAATGGTCTCGTTCGTTCAATTGTGTTCGTGAACGTTCGTTTACATCTGTTTATGTTCGTTCATATAAGTTCATTTTATGTTCACATATGCTTAATTGTGTTTGATTACATTAGTGTATTATATATTCATTTACGTTCATATATCTTCAATTATGTTTTTTTTTTTATATATATATTTGTTCATTTATGTTCGTTTAGCATGTTCACGAACATAAATGATCGAACATGAACAATGTAATTTGTTAAACGAACGAACATGAACAAGAAAACTCGTTCGTTTATCCGTTCGTGTTCGTTTATTTGTTCGGCTAACTTAAACGAACGAACATGAACAAGCCCCGTTCGTGTTCGTTCGGTTTGTTTACAAGAAAACCCTATATACGGTGAATTTAAATTTGACAGGCATTGCCAAAATTTTAAAATATAACAGATAGAAATATGCCCAAATTAAAAAGACACTAAGCGTAAAATTTTGATTTTGACACTGTATTTTATTTTTTTTCAATTAAGTCATTAAGTTTAGAATTTTGTTGCAAAGTTAACCAAACAACCGGTTTGCCTCATGTGTTTCATGTTTCTTACCTGCTGACTAGACAAAAAGTTTATGTGGTTTCCACATAAGATCCTAATTAGCAAAAATTTGGGTTAAATTATCCTTCGTATATCTTAACTCACTTTTTGTTATTTCTTTTTCTTTTCTTCTTTCAGAGCATCACGATTTTGTGCAATGGCTTTTCCAAGGTCGCTCAAGTGGTTCATCATTCTAGAGTGGTGTAAGTAAGACAATGATGGTTGTCCACAGTAACATCTCTTAAAGGAAACCTTCCTTGCCTTGTTTAAACCACTTGTGATGATGACCTATTTAAGCGACCTTGGGAAGCCATTGCACAAAATCATGATGCACTAAGAGAATAAAATAAAAGGAAATAAGAGAAAGTGAGTACAGATCTACGTAAGGATCCAGTTAAACCAAAATTTTGGCCAACTAGGATCATATGTGGAAGCCATATAAGCTTTTTGCCTAGTCATCAAGTGAGAAGCATGAAACACCTAAAACAAACCGGTCGATTGGTTAAATTTGCAACAAAATTGTAAACTTAGTGATTTAAATGACGGAAAAAAAAGTGTCAAAATCGAAATTTTATTTAAACTTAGTGTCTTTTATGTCATTTGTCTTCAAAGAAATCATGGAAACCATGTGATTTTATTATTAAAACCGGAAATAAGCAAAAATTAGGGGAAATTCAAAATTAAAGGTCAAAAAAGAGACATTGGGGCTTTCCGTCCATATAATGTAGAACTTAAAACTCAATTGTGTGTATCTAAGGGCATCCACAATCTATTGAACTCTATGGAGTTCAATGGATTGTCACATCACTGTCACATCAACATTTTACTTTTTATTCAACTATACTCTTTAATATCCACATTCCATTAAACTCTACAAAGTTTCCATTAAACTCTATAAAGTTTAATGGATTTCTATATTTGGTTTGAAATTTAATTGGAAAAGAAAAGATTAAATCCACTGAACCACTCAATGATCATATAACTCTCTCATTCAACTCTCCTCTATGTCATCACTCACACTCCATTAAACTTCTATTCAATCCTAGTCATCATCTATTCAACTCTTATTAAATCCCTATTATGGATGCTCTAACCTCCCGACCTCCATATGGGAATTGGGTATAGTACTAGTAATTTTTTTTTTTAAATTGAATGTCAAGCGGTGGTCTTAGATGAGATGGTTGAACTTTTCGAGTCAAAAATAAGCAAATGAATTAGATCAATCCTTGCAGAAATTTTAAAAGGGTAGCTACTTTCTTGTTTGGTGGAAAATGGCTAATGCTTGTTACCTAACGCATTATTCTTAGCACTTACCTGATCATTTCCCTTTAGGGTTGTATTCCACACAAGATTATGACCTTCAAAGATATTATCACCTACGAATATGAGGTACAAGATTAACAGATTCTTTTGAGGATTTAAATTACTTTGATATATAATCATTAACAACAATATACTTTTTAACCAATCTCTTGCGTCATTTTTATAATTTTACAAACCCTTTTTATCTAACCAATCTGGCTTGTTAAGATTTTAAAATCACAATAATTCGTTCCCCTCAGAAGTCAAAAAGGATATTTCCACTGGGCTCTCCTATGATTTGCTGCCATGTGCATGACTTATTAGCCTTAAAAAAATTGATTTACTTTGCACGTCTACTTGTTTAACTTATGTGGGGTCCATCTCAAAATTATACATGCTATTTTCCTCCACTTAATATCAACGATGTACATTGTAAACTACAATGGACATCTAAAGAGCCGTGCCACATATATATGTGACTAATCTAATGGAAACAAAAAAAGTCTCCAACAACCAACAAATTCTGAAAATGGAAAGAAATATATACATCTTAGTTGGTATCTATTTTTATTCCCTGTCACGCACAACCTATATTACATCATAAATATTTCTTAACAACAAAAAAATAAAATTAAAGAAACAAAATTTAATTTATGACGACAAGCCAACCACCATGATGAAATGATGACACGCCATTTCTGTAGAATCTTTCTTCTTTAATCCTCCCAAGAGCTTGATGGTGATTTTTTTTCCTTTTATAAAAAATTTCCTCCCACTACTACCTTTGCTGGCAGCCACAACAATCATGGGTGGTGGTGTCGCTATACTCCTTGCATTATCCTTTTACAGCTCTCATATTATATTAAAAAAAATATTAAAAAGAAAAAAAAAATACATTATCTTAAACTATATATCGGCGTTGATCTTTAATTCCCTGTACAGATGAGAGATGATTCTAGAAGGTGGGTTTGATAGCCAAAAAAAGAAAATTTTCTTAGAAATTCTCTTTGTGAAAGTCAAATTTGGTTGACGTCTTGTGTGAGAAATCTAAAGCTAATTGTTTCAGCTCTTTTGTTGGTGCCGGTGCTCCACAATAGAATACCCCTGCGGATTTAATGAGACAAACGTTAAAAAAAAAAAATTAAAAAAAAAATCTCACATGACATGATCCAATCACAACAACTTGTTATTCAATTATAATCTATATAATCTATTCTTACAACATTCTATAGTGGAATATAGAATTACGACAAGTGAAAACAAGTCTATAATATGATAATATCATTATTATTATTATTATATTATTATTATTATTATTATTACTACTACACGGTTTAAACACCCTGTTTTTTCACCATTTTGTATTCCTTCCTTTTTTTGGCACGATGCACCTTTCTTTGTCAATTTCGTTAATAAGATTTTTTAATTAGCACTAAACGTTAATCAATCTCCATTAGCATTAAACTAACCCCCAGCCACTTTAAAGGTTGTATTTTAGCTTTTTTATGGTCCCGCAGTATCATTTTCTTTAGTCCTATTAGGATATAGACTATAGTATGAAAAAGACTTTGGTCCAAAAAATATAACGCGTTTTTTAGGTTTCATTTGGTGCCTATTATTCAAAGGCCACCTTTAGTGAGTATTGACAAAGAAAGCCACAGAGTTTATATTTAGCACTCATTACAGAAAATAGTCTCTAGTTTGAATTTATTTTCCTTTTTTGACAAAAAGGCATAAAAGATATTATGTTAACTAAAAGAGAACAATGAGATTGAATTAACAGAGGGATATGGAACTGACCTATTCTTGAACCCGTGTGATTAAGAGCGATGCGTTTATACACGTTGCGCCAATTGGGTTTAGCAAAATGAGACTTAACACGAGTCCCCGAGACAACATCAACACCATTTTTGGCATGATTAAGTGACTGAAGCATAGTGATTAAAGCAGACCTCGCATCACCTTCCTCATAAACACTTGTGCAATAATTATGCATCTCAATGACACCATTTTTGTCCATTTCAGCAGCCTCATTCATAACACCTTTAAACCAATCAAACGAACCCTGTTCCCTAGTCACCCAATAAAAGTATGCTCTCGTTGTTTTGAAGTTATTCGCACTTGTTGGCCCTGATTTATTCTTTTGTAGTTTGCCAGTGTTAGTGCCAGTACCACTGTTACCTCTTTCCAAGGCACTCATTTCCTCTTCTTTGGCTTTCATGTTATTCACAATATCTTTCACAATACTAATCATAGGGGTTGCTCCTATTCCTAACCCCACTAGTAACACCACGTCGTATTTTTTGTAGTCTTGTGCTGGTGCTCCATATGGACCGTCGATTAAAACTCTTGGGAAACTGTTAAAAAAGGTTAAAAAAAAAAAGTTTAGGTGAAAATTGAAATACCATCAAATGATACATGAGAAATGTTGGAAAATATTTGCTATATTAGTCAAGGCAGAATATTTTTTGGTTGAAAAAGATCACTTGTTTGAACCACATTGAAAAAGTCCAAAATTCATGCCAACTTTTTTGTAATCTGTTAGATGTCCTTGTTTGAATGATCTACTCGAGGCTTTAGGTGCAAAAGAAAGGTGGTATGTTTTCATACTAAACGGTAAGAACTAGAATGTAATTTTGTTGTCATCTTTGGAAACTTTAAGATATTATATGGTTCGGTTTTAATATATAAATATATAAATGAAAATCTAGAAACAGTTGAACTTGCTTACTTTGGATTTTCTCCTTGGCAATCAGCTCTTAAGAGCCCACTTTTTCCATTACGTGGAGGTTGACATACCTACCAAAGACCAAAAGAAACTGTTAGGTGATAACAAAGCAACTCACATGCCATAAAGGATCCTAAATTACCAAGGGTAAAATGGTCATTTACTCAGAATCGGACATTTTAATTATTCCGAAAAAAAAAAAAAAAAAAAAAAACTCTTTATTAATAGGAAAAAAAGTAACTCTTAATGGACTTAATGTAGACATGACAAGTTTACCTCTGAAAATACTACTTTAAGTTGCCTAGTCCAATCACCGAGAGTTCGTATATGCACGCTGAGATAGTCATCACCAGGGGCAGATGTGATGGAAAACGGGTGCCTGTGGACATCATGTATTAATCATTAACTTCCCTTCCCTTTATATATCACTTATTAGTGTGAATCTGAATTAGGCTCTTACTCACCATTCAAATGGGGAAACGGCAGCACAGTTGACAAACATGTATTGCCCACTCTTGTATTTAAAGCCTTGTGGCTTCGACATATGAATTGCCAACACATTCCCAGGATAAACCGCCACCTTTAACACCAAAAATATCGTTACATATAGATATCATCTTGTTAATAGATAAATTAAAAAGAAAAAAATAAAAATAAAGTTAATCCCATGAATTAATGTAAAATTATACCTTAAGTATCTTGACCGGCTTCACACTAGACCGAAACGCCCTTATTAATCTCTCACACGCATATAGGAAGATTGGTACAGCCAAGTACATCCATGTCTGCAACCATTATCATGATTAAGTTGAAGAATAACAAAATTGGAATACCAATTTCTAAAATCAATCCAACATTAAAAACTAACCGTCTTCTTGGATGTTTTCTTGGTGAGATAAAGTTTGAAACCGTGAACTATTAGCAACGTGTAGACAATAACAAACAAATGATGGGAGTACCAAAATGCATTAAACCCCGTGAGTTTCTTCAAAAACGATGGTAGATTAAGCTTTCCCCGTCTAAGCCATGGTGTTGCTAAAGTAAAAGCAATTGTCATCAAAACCACCATTATAATTCCCGTATACCCTTCTGGTTCCTTCACAAAATGCCAATAATTCTTGGCTTGCTTCCCGAAAAACTGTTCCATCGGTTTATACTCTTCCTCTGTCGCGTGAATTAGCCTCGGAAAATCACACGCTAAATGAGAAATTGCATGCAACCCAACTCCAATCGAAATCGCCACCCCAATCACCTACAACAATATATATCTTAGTCATTACAAAAAATATATATATAAAAAGTTTATTAATTATGAGACTCACTTTGTGAAAATTGAGATTATCATCGAAAGGAACGACAACACCCAATTTGGTCTTGTTCCTGAGCCAGGTGATGGTGTTTCGACAAACGGGTAACAAAATAAGTGCCATGTTTAATTTAAGTGTCTCAGCTGCTCCTTTAGCAATACAGACACAAGGACCGAGCACTTTATAGACTGCTCGGTCCTTGTACTGAATGTACTTCCATGTAAACAAAGCAACCATCACCGCTGTCCAAAGTACAATCACCCAACATCTCTGCCAATTATCCATTAGAAAGTACCTAAAATCTTCGTACCATCTTCTTATCGGATTACCACTTTGAGTCATTTTCAGCTTTTGGCTCAACATTTGGCTCAGGTTTCGGCTTTCTCCTCTCACGTTATGTTGTGGTGCTTGCAACAATAGCATCTCCAAATTCTCAATCTGTTTAAATTAATCAATGATTTTTTTTATTAATTGCATAACAATTTCCCACCAAACTCTACTTAACTTAATGTAGTTGCGTTATAATCATAATCTTAATTCTTACCATGATGTAACCGAGGTTTTCAGGGTCTAACTCTTCCATGATCAACGCGGCGTATTCGTCAGCTTGTTTTTGAATATTCGATAACTTGTTTGCTGAAGCACTAAGGCTAATAATCTGCATCACATGGGTATCCATTATCAATAATGATTAATCATTCTACCAAAATATTCTAATCTACCACTAGCCACCTTTTAAAATAATAATAATTTACGGATTGAAATCGATATACTATACCTCCCTGACTTCGTCTTCAGTGATCCTGCCATCTGCATCTTTATCAACCCTGCATTTAATTATATTTCTAAATAAGAATCCCACCCAACTGAAATATATGAAGAAATAATTGATAAATCCGATCCTCACATGTCAAAGAAAGTCTGTAGCCTTGAGTCAAAACTCTGATCAGAAATTTGGTCCCAAAAATCCTTCAATTGTTCTTTGTTAATCGTGTCACCTGTTATGTTTCTCCTTCGAACTAATGCATCGAAAAGCTCGCCAGCGAATTCTTTCGAATCTTTGTTCATCCCTGGAATATTATATTAAATTAAATTAACCCATAATTAATTAATTATTGAAAATCTATACGAAGAACATCTGAACATGCAGTGAGTTTTGGATTTATTAATTGATTAATTACCAATGCATTCCCAGAAAAGCGAGCGTGGAAGAAGGCCATTGGTGGGTTTGGTGAGATCGTCAAACCGCTTCTCCAAGGCGCTCCACGCCGCACCTCCGTCGTTCTTGCTGATAAACTTAAGTCCCTTGAGAGCATAACTTGCAGCGGATTTAGTTCTCTCTAAACGACCGGCGGGTTGCCGTTTCGAGAATGAAGTCAACCGTTTTAACTCTTCAGACACCTGCCGGATCCTCGACGACGCATTTCGCACCACCGACGAACCAAAAGACGACCTCTTTTCCAATCCTTTAGCTAACAAAGTCAGCTCAGGATCCTCCACGTCAGCTCCGTCGGCTGTCTTCAGGCTGTGTAACGCCACCGAGTCGTCACGGACGTCCAAAGTGATTTCCACGTAGTCGTCATTGTTCGACTTCACGCTGCCGCTGCTACTCCCCGGAGCACCGTCGGGAATATTAAACCTAGGGCTTTTCCGGTGACCTCTTTTGTTCAACGGCCCACTTAACGGACCGCTGAATGCCTTCCTGTCAACAGCTACAACCTCCGTGTCGGAGTGGTAATGGTCATGGCGGTTATAATTTTCCGGCAACCCTGTTCTTCCGTCATCCGTACCCATCTTTTGCATTTGCTTCCGAAACTATAACCAAATTGAAAATCTGAAGAGCGTGGATAAAATATATGTTTAGTTAACAAGAGAAAAAAATGTGAAGAATAATGGCCTGGTGGGGTTGTTTTGTATATAGGGTTGTTTTTGAGGATACGAGGGAGGAGAGGCCTCCCACTTATATGCTGAAATTAAAGCGTGTGCGAGTGATAGAGAGAGGAATGAAAGAAGTCAATGAAAAGCCAAATGGGTTGTCTGATGACCAACTGCTCATTTGAACACCTTCCTTTTTATTTGTTTGTTATTTTTTAAATTTTAAATTTTAAATTTAAATTGGTTCTAAATTTCTATAAAAGGCTAAAACCAGGGACTATATACATAGCTAGCGGTTCAAGGCTTGAAACTTGAAACCGCCTTCACTAATTCCGTTTTTCTTTTTCGAAATTAATGGCTAACTTCATTTATTATTTTATCAACAGACAACATATTTTAATTATTTAATTTTAACAAAAATTACAGAAACGATCCATGTATTCTGCAAAAAATCATAGATTTAGTCTTTAATCTTTTTTTTTTCTTAATAAAGATCCATATGGCTTCAATTTTTTTGTGTGGTTGTCATGTAAAACATTTATAACATATTTTTATTTTCTTTACTTACTTTTATTTTATATTAATATTAAAATACCATGACCGGCATACTCATACCCATACTACATATCACTTCATCCCTTTTTCTCATTTTTTTCGTCTCCTCCATCATAGCTGTTTTTCTACTATGACCGTCACTTTCCACCACCATCTACCACCTGTCAATGAACCATTGAGAAAAAAAATTATAACTCCAAACTTCGAGGGGTGTTTGGGATTTGCTTTTCAGACTAAAAAGTTCTTTCGACAAAAGTCATTTTTGACTTTTTACAAAAGAAAGTTTTAAAATGTGTTTGGTTTATCTTTTGACTTTTCAAAAGCTAAAAACCCAAAAGTTACAAAAAGTCACAAATTCATGACTTTTGAAACAGTTTATTTTTGTTCTTGTCAAAAAGCTGATCTAAAAGAACTTCTTGAAATGTCAAACATCTTTTTTAACTTTTAGCTTTTTGAAAAAGAAAAAAGTCATTTTAAAAGGATTCCCAAACACCCCCATGTCTTTCTCTCAAACTCCAAACTTGATAAAATTGATGTTTTCTATATTACTAAGATCAACCTAAACACAACTCCAAACTTAACAAAATCTAATCTAAATATAAATTTAACCTAAACACAACTTCAAACTTGATAAAATATGTGTTTTGATTAAACTTTGTATATCGAATTTCATTAAAATGCATAAGATATTATCTGTAGTTAAATCCAAACCCAAACACAAGCATAAAAATAATAACCTACAAATCTAATATACATCTTCAATTCAAGTTAAATTCTTCACCTCTCCAACCCAAGCAAAAACCTAGAAAACCAAGATACAACCCCAAAATTTAAGGGAGAAGCAAGATACTTAAGTATAGCAAGTTCTAAATTGATTAGTTAGATAGATATTGATGGATTTTCAGGTGGCGGTTATGACGTCTGAAAAAATCAACTAGAACAAGAAGCAACAGTGGTGGTTATGTTTTCCACTGAAGATCATCGTTGTTGATGTTGGAGGGAAACGTTGTTGATGTTGGAGGGAAACACCTTTATGATTTTGGGATGGACTGGGTTAGTATAATGGAGGAAAGGGATGAATGGGTGGGTGTTTAAGGGTGAGTATCAGTGGCCATCCGAGATGGAGTAGAAGAAAGGGAGGGTTACTATATATATATATATATATATATATATATATATATATATATATATATATATATATATATATATATATATATATATATATATATATATAGAGAGAGAGAGAGAGAGGGTGAATTTCTTTTTTATTTAATTAAAACTAGTTAGAATAAATATAATACTATAAAAGTTATTTAATCTGAGTAAGGACGAGTATCAACACAATTTTTAAAAATCACAAGGATCATTCTCATCAAGAAAAAAAGTTATGTGCAACTTTCTGAAACCATATGGATCATTTATGTAACTTTATTATTAACTAAATTTATTATTTTCTTTTCGATTTTATATAAATTGTACATCTATGGCAAAAGGTATTCCGTATTCGAGACATTTTATGGTTGAGAAAAGCATGTTGCATGGATAATCAAGATGTAAGAATATTCCTTTTTGCAATTAACTAAATACACAATAAATAATGATATAATTTATCATCGTTATTTATTATACTATGACATCTTGGAGTAGGTCATCATAGTTTAACATTTGTAGTTTATTGTGCTCTTTTATTCTCGGATCTTTTTAGTTGTATGGTTTAGTTCAAATATTTATAGGACTTTCCAATATTTGATAAACCATGAGATTATGCCTTCAACGCACACACATCAATAAACGACGCATCCACCTCCGCTGCTCCACTTTGAGCCTCCGTCTCCCCGATTGTCAGTTCGTTGGCCTTCACCCTTCTGCCCTTCTTCTTCAACCTTATATTATTTATAAAATACATTATTAAGATTTAAAATCCAATTAGTATTCAATTTAAGTTATTTAATTTCTTTTTCGTAATTTTCAGGGTTTTACAATTTTTTATCTAATTTTCTTGGTTATAAGTTGAACTTGGCAGTTGACATTGTTGTTGTGTGAGCCATGGATAGAGGATGTGGTAAAACTACGGTTCAAGAAATATGCTGAAACGATAACATTATGTTTTATTTTGAATTTAGAAAGTGTTTGTTTTAAAGTTTTAATATCATAAATTATTATTTTTAATTTGGTTGAAAAGTTGAAACTTTTAACTATTGATTTTGAAAATTTTCTTTTTTAAAATAGCTATTGTATTTTTGTAATTTGGTTGAAAATTGAATGAATTTTGGATGGAAAAAATTGGATGAAATTTGGATGAATCCAATAATATATATTTGATATCCAAATGGATAAAACCGATCCAATCTAATGTTCGGATCGGTTCAGCATAAGAAACAGCAGGTTAACGCGGATGACTATAAAATAAAGTTGTCTCCAAGAAAAACAGAATCGTCGCAAGTAGATCGTGGGGTATCCGGACACCCCATCCCAAACCGTTTTCGTGTAGCTAAGGAAAAAGAAGAGGTTGTTAAAATTCATTCAAAAGAGTTAAATAAGCTTGAATTTACATTTTTATTAAGGTATGGTTATAAAATAATAGTTTAAAAAAAAACCTTATTCGTGTTTGATTTTATAACATCAAATGTTGAGTAAATTACACGATTCGTCCCTGGGGTTAGGGTCAAATTTCACGTTTTGTCCCTACTTTCAAAAATTAACTCGGACCGTCCCTTATATCGTGAAAATTTACACGTTTTGTCCCTGCCATACATGAAATGACTATATTGACATTTCCTTATTCTTTTTGATTTATTTTGCAATTGTTTATTGTTTTTTGAGTTTTCTATTGAAAAGGAAATGGAAGTGGGCCCACCCCCTTTATACCTTACGTCCTTACCCTCTTCAACTTTCTGTCGTCAAATGCAAAAGAGCTTCTTCTCCTTCCTCTCTTCTCACAGCACTCACCTGCAACCCTATGTTGCCGCCGGAAACGTCCAAGCTACAAAACCTTACAAACTTCGAATATCGGAAACGTATACGCCCTAAAACCTCGTCTTCTTCCTGGGAATTTATGTCCCTTTGAAGAAATTGGAGATGTTTGGGCTATATCAGGTGAAGAGAGGCACCACTACTGTCAAGAGAGGCATTGTCACGCCGTCAAGAAAGGCACCACCGCCGCACCACCAGTAGCATAGCAGGTATGCTGATTCCCTTCCTCTTTCTCTGCATATCTTATTCCAGTTTTTGTATTGAATGATTTCGTTTTTTTAGCTTCAGCTTCTTGACGATAATGATTTGCTTGAATCTGACTCGGTTTTGAGTTATTTCTGTTTTGATTTTGAGCATCAAGTTTTGAGCGATTTGCTCTACTATTGGCGGTGAAGAGGTGTAATACCCATAAAAATCATGCCCAATTTAACTTTTCAAAACATTTAAACAGTTAACATTTACAAAATTCGTTTTCAAAATAATAACCATCAGAGTATCCCAGTATCAAATCATGAAATCATAATGACGGGAGGAGCGGTACAATCATGCCTTCGCCTTCCCGCGGTCACCAGAAGTACCTGAAACCATAATCGATAGATGTAAGCTCGAAGGCTTAGTGAGTTACCCCCAAAATACCAACCTCATAACCATAATCATATCATATAACAAACACAGAACAACATGTATAATGGGCCTTCAGCCTGACTGAACCGCCTCGCAGGCCTTAAGTCTATCTGGACCGCTCTCCGAGCCTTCGGCACGTCTCGACCGCCTCGCAGGGCCTTCAGCCTATCCGGACCGCTCGTCGGGCCTTCGGTCTGACTATCATACCCTACTGGGTTTGTAGTCTATCCAGACTGCCCTGGGTATGTTGGCCTTCAGCACAAAGCATGACCGCCTCAACCCAAACCCCCAATCAATCAAACATGTGCACATACATATCATACGCTAGCATATATAACAGTCAACCGATCTAACAGATCAACTAGCATGACATCATCCTATAACCAGGATACCGACCTAACCGGTCACTAATATAGCATTATCCTATATACCAGGATACCGACCTAACCAAGTCACTAAGCATAAGCATATCACCCTCCTAACTACCAGGATGTAGATCAATAAACATGTCATGCAATAATCCGGATACAATTCCACAAAGGGCCGGCCTTAGTGCCTTAGACCCTGTTGATATAGTGATGAGAACTCACCTCGCAACTGTTGATTCGAAAGATAAGCTTAACCTCTCGGATCACCGACATGAACTCTACCACCTATAGTTACCATAAACCCTTTCACATAAATTTCCAATTACTAAAATGCCCCCAATAGGTCAATTGGTCAACCCTTGGTCAAAGTCAAAGTCCACAGTCAGAGTCAACAGTCCATGTTGACTCGACTCGTCGAGTGCAGTTCACCGACTCGTCGAGTCCTTCTTGAACTCGAGAAGTCGTGAAATCCTTGGTTGACTCGTCGAGTTTCCCTATATCTCGTCGAGTTCATGCGTGTCCAAAGGTTGGGAAAACCCTCGTCAAGTCACTCGACTGACTCGCCGAGCCCACGACCACCTTCATCGG